TGTAATTATAACTACACCCAATCTTCTAGTTACGTATCTTTTCATGCACAAAGGACTAAGGAGGGCCAAGTGGGAAATCCCCTTAATAAATTGGCAACGGAAACGTCAAAGGGGAACCCCAAAAAAAACCTGGAAGTTATCAACAGCCAGATCAGCACGAGTATGAACCCAATCCCTTGTCTTTTGGAAAATCCCATCCCTAAAACTGCCTTTCTAGTATTTCTGCCGTGTTGAAATTGGACATTTCTAGATGCATAGCCTGTTCAATAAATAGGTAACGAATTGACCATTGCAGGATGCAGACTCGTGGTGTTTTATTTATTTATTTTTGAATATATTATAATTATTTATAGGTTAATTGAGAAATGTAAGAAAGAGTTTTCGTGAAGTTTAAACGTATAACTCGATGAATAACTTTAACGTAGAGTTGAATGTCATTAGATTGGAACGGATTGTTTTATTTATTTATTTTTTTTTTATAACATAATGGAATTTGGAAGAAAGGTAAAATTCTTGAATGTCCTTATGGGAAATTAAACCTTAGTGTGGAGTCCGTGGACCCATGGTTTATAGAGATACTAGGGGCTGCAAGGTGAAAAAAGAAGTTATTATCTGCAATGAATTTTTTGGCCATTTTTATTTTGTATGATGTCATGGCCATTTTGGAAAAATCTTTTTATTTCTTTATACTTAATTTATCTTCAATTAAATACGTCATGAAAATAAAAAAATTGACAATGTTATGCCTAACATATTTCAAAATGATTCTTAAAGTACGTGAATGTATAAGAATTTACAAGTGATTTTATAAGAAAATTAATTCATTAAATATTATTGTTTATTATTGTGTAAAATACTATAAAAGAAATTAAAGGAAGCAGAGGGACGAGAAAAACTTTTTCGGTCCAATCAATTCTGGATGTTGAGTTTAAATTCATATTTTATGTCAAATTACGTATTAAAAGTGTAATATAAATATCAAAATTATTTTTTTTTATTTTAATTAAATAATAAAAAATAATTATGTCTTATCTTTTATCTTATTCCATCACTATATCATATGATTTGAATTCGAGATCTTTTATTTTTATTAAAAAGAAATTATCATTAAATTATTTAAATAGTTGATCAAAATTATTAAATTATCAATAATAAAAAATATGAAAAATAATTTCACTTAAGATATATTTTAATAAATTTACAAATTAAATTATATTTTTAATATACAATCTGACATATATAAACATTTCTTTTTTCATTTTAATTTTAACTCAATATCTTAATTTCATTAAATGAAAAATTTTAGTAAATTTCTTTTACCTCATTTCCATCCAATCAAAAAATACGATTTTCTCTCCATCCAGACATATCTAAACCAAAAATATAGATTCATCCTATTTTTTCTCCTCATGGGAAAATGGACGATGGGAAAATTTTACCTTTTTTTTTTTTTTATCCTTTTTACGATTCCAATTTCTCATGCCTTTGAAAATTAAGCAACAAAATTTTCTTCCTCCACCGGACACAAATTTCCTGTTTCAAAGAAAGCGGGTAGAGAGAGAAATAAAGCTTTAAATGCGAGTGGGTTCTTGATTGATGATTCTTGTCTTCGTTGTCTTCTTCTCTTAGGCACTAAGCATACAGCCTCGCCCTTTTTTTCATATAATCTTCTTCTTGTACCCTGCGGTTGTAGATCAGCATCTTCTGAAGACAAAATTATTCAGTTTTACCCATTTTTGGCCGGAAAGAATGGATTTTTACCCATACCCATCTCGTCCCTCTCCTTGCCCATTGCATTCGTTCAGGAATTTCGTCGAAAGGGTTAAGGATTTCTTCAATTCTGCAGTTTCTGCTGTCATTGGGAACATTTTCTCTGCGATTTTGACCTTTTTCTTCGCTTTAGGTTGGTTTCCTCCCTAAATTTCTCTTCCTTTATTTGTGTTTTTGTCATCAAAATTGTGACTCTCTTGGCTCAATGTCATTTGATTAGTGATTTGTTCATGCTTCTTGATGTAGGTTTTTGGATAAAATCCAAACTGGGATTTGTTCATTTTCATGAGATAATCTATTTGTTCTCATTTTCAGTGAATATGTGTTTAATATTGTGGGATAATGATTTGCTCCTGTTATTTCATCTGGATTTGTGCGGAAAGCGATCTTCCTATCATACTGTTTAACTTTTGTTGGATTGCAATAATGTGAGAAATTGAATATTCTGTGCCCAGTGCCCACTAACAACAAAAAGAAAGGGTTTAGGTTGATTGTCCTATATTAATCTTTAAGAATATATTGAATAATGAGAAAAATGCTGTTTGATTCCTTATAATTGGCTCAAAGAACACTTTTAGGGCCCTTATCATTTCTTTATTAGAGAAAATTTTTAAAGAGATTGACATTTTTTTTTTTCTTTTTTGCAGTGGGCACCTTGTTAGGAGCCATGACTGGAGCTTTGATAGGGCAGGAGACTGAGAGTGGATTTGTTCGAGGGGCTGCTGTTGGGGCCATTTCTGGAGCAGTGTTCTCAATTGAAGTTTTTGAATCTTCCCTTGTTCTCTGGCAATCTGATGAATCAGGGATTGGATGCCTTCTGTATTTGGTGAGCATTTGTCTATCATTCCTTTATGATCATACCTCAAATTGATGATTTGGAAAATTTTAATCCATATTGTTATTGTTGCTGCTGCTTTTTTCCCTTTTTAATCCAAGTTGTATAATTCAGTTTCTTGCAAATCTTGTAGATTGATGTAATTGCAAGTCTTCTTAGTGGAAGGCTTGTAAGGGAACGAATTGGTCCAGCAATGCTAAGTGCCGTGCAGAGTCAGGTACTTTTATGCAAATGGAAGTTTCTATCTTAGAAAGTAAAGTGCATCCTTTATCTGCAATTTGCTTATGATTTTGGTTTCTATAATCAGATGGGAGCTGCTGAAACAAGTTTTGATGAGGTAACTAACATCTTTGACACCAGCAGTTCAAAAGGGTTGACAGGAGAATTGGTTGAAAGGATCCCAAAAATCAAAATCACAAACAATGATAATACAGATGCTTCAGGAGAGAAAGTTTCTTGTTCAGTTTGCCTTCAGGTTTGGTCCTCCTTCTCATTTTCTGATTCCTTTTCAAGTCATTAATCTTAGCTTTATTAAATTCTAAGATGCTTATCCAATTTTACATTTTTTCATCTATGCAGGACTTCCAACTTGGAGAAATGGTTAGAAGACTGCCTCATTGCCATCACATGTTTCATCTACCCTGCATAGATAAGTGGCTTCTCAGTCATGGTTCTTGTCCATTATGCAGAAGGGATTTATAATTCTGTTTTTGTAAATTCCACACTTAGAAAAGTTCATTTATTATTTATACTGCTGTTTCCCTAGGGCTTTCATATTTTGGTTATCAACCTGCTTACTCTGTCTCTCCAGATGGTTTCAGTTCATCACATCTCTCGATGGATTGGTTTACTCAATTAGTTCTATGTATAAAAGTTTTGATCAGTTATGATGGTACTAATCACATATCTTGATACTCCGTCCTCACTCCCTTTTCTTGGATTATATCTTCGGAATTCTATAGCTAATAGGATGCACTGCATGTTTCATGATCCATATTCTTGAGACATTTACATTTACAGATTGAAATTGTGTGCTTTAATCTTGAAGGGTTAGTGTTGCTCTTTTATTATTAATGATAAAATAATGGCAAACATGGACAATGCCGACAGCTCGGGAATTGAATTATCCAAACCTCTCACACAAACCAATTGCAGGCCCTTCAATTCTATTTGAACTGTAGGTGAAGAGACAAACAAACATGCACTAACTCCTTGTGTGGGAGTTGGTCAGGCCTTTTAAGTCTTGGTATGATATCATAAGGTGTGAGGAAAAAATAGGAATTAATCTACACTATTCTTCTGACATTTATGGCTTCTGGCAATTTGTACTAATTTAACACTTAATGCTAATGGTGGGTGAACTAGAATATTGTCAATGCTTGATTACCGATTCCTCCTGAATTTCTTTGCTAAGTTTCTAGGATAGGAAACTAAGAGAGCGTTGTGAAGAATCATTAACTATTGAAAGATAGTCATTTTACCTAAGAAACATCTTAGCTCAGCTGCCGCATTTATGGTCTGTGTTTCTGGCATCGGTGGTGTCTGGGGCTATGCTGCTGCAGAATTGTATTATTATTAAACTACGTAGAAGACAATATGTTCACCTACTTCCCCCAAACATTTAGTAGTTGTGTTTTAGATGCATGGATCCTACATCAGCTCAAAGGAAGAGCATGTGGTTCTAAATGTGGTAGGTACATAGATTACCAAATTAAAAATGTTTCTTTTCTTTTAATAAAAGGAAATATTGTGATTTTAAGAGATCTCATATGAGTAGATAACCCCTCTGTGTCATTATATGTTATTATTTTGTTGATCAAGATTTGATTTTTAATAATAATTTTAAAAAGGGTAAATTAAATTCTGAGGATAATCTCAGTGATGAACTTATGCATTAACATTATCTATAGGAGAATCTTGTCAAAACGAGGACAAACCGTTTGACCCAATCAACAAAGCTTCCAAATTTAAGGGTTGGAATCTGATTGCCTAAAATAATTAGTCTTTTACGCACTAAGACAACCGATTTAGAACATCAACAAAACATCCAAAACCAACGCTCACATTTTATTTTCATTCCTAACACAATTGATAATGAAGTCAACAGGCCAGAACAGTCACAAAAGACAATATCTTATGATAATTAATTCCCAGTCTCAATCCGCCGCGCTCCCGGTTGATTCATTTTGTATTGTTTATTTTATTTTATTTTATTTTTTATTTTTGGTCTATTGTCTTGAACCTCAGAAAGTTAAAATCATGACTAAAGAAAATGATTACTGTACAACCTTATCTCATAACCGGGGCTTGCAGTACCATGTGACAATAAATATGTGGTGATCTCTTTGGTTAATGAAATGTGTGAATTGATATGCATTTATTCCGGTGATGATTACTATGAAGCTTCAATGTGATTGCATCTAAAGTAGCTTTTTCAAAAATTCTTAAGTCTATGCACATGTGGAATTTGGATGCATACGTGTTACTTACTTTTTTAAAACCAAGAAAAAAGGTTTTTTTCAATGAACTTTTGCTTTCATGCGATTGACCTTCATTAAGATGATTGGAAAAATGTTTGTTTAAAATTAAGTTTTGCACTTCTTAAACGATTTTTATAGATATGCATTCTTTTAGTATATCTGATTCTCATCTTATTCATTCGGCGTCACTTACAAAATGCAATTTATGATGTAAATAGATTGTAAAAGTTCCGAGTGAATAACACCCAGTTTGATCTCATTTCAATTTGATACTTCAAGAAAGAAAAAAAAATGACGTATAGCATGAGAAAGCTCATACGTATAGTTAGGTACTAATTTGACCAATGTCTGCCGTCCGGGTAGAGGACCGGGTCCTTCCTGAGATGGACCATGGAGATTGAAAAATTATGTTTGATTCCCCATCACTATATAGAGATGGAGACTAACTTTTGAAGATGTGTTCTGCCGGCAGAAACCATCAGTCTTTTATGCAACAATTCTATCCCCTTTGCATATATTCCCCTCTCTCTTTCTTCAATTTTCACAAATCAAAGTATTTTTGTCATGCAAAATGCAACAATTTTGATGAGATGAGTGAAAATGTATTAACCCACTTTCATTTGTAAGAATGGTCAAGAGATTCTAGGACAGTCATCGTCAGATATGTCTCACAGTCACAAATCAATGTTGGGAGTCCTCATTATTGCCATTTTATCTGTCTTCTTCGTTGGCTCCCTGTTCTTCCTCTGTAGAAGAAAGCTCTTCCCACTTCTTAAACAAAAATGGAGCTGTAAAGGTTAGTGATTTCCTTGAATGTAATTCTGATTCATGTAAGGCTGTTAGTTAGATTGATATCTGTCGATAATTGTGGGTACATTAAATAATTAGGGAGTTTGAAAGATGAGAAATTGATGTTGAGGAGGTTCCAATTGGTGGAGTTGGAGAGAGCTACCAAGAATTTCAGCAAAGACTGCTTGTTGGGGTCTGGTGCCTTTGGTAATGTCTATAGAGGAACCTTCGAAGTTGAAGGTACTTTAGCAATCAAGAAAGCTCATGCTGCATCGTTTCAAAGCCTTCAAGAATTTAGAAATGGTAAGCCTAAAATTTCATGCATAATCAAGCTCGAACAAATATAACTGATATGTATTTAGTGGTTTCTTGAAACAGAAGTGAAGCTGCTTTCGAAAGTAAAGCATTGGAATCTTGTGAGTTTGGTGGGTTTTGTGAAGAGACTGGTATGAAAAACAAAGCTCAATGCTTCCGTCTCAGAAATACTAAGATGCTTGATTATGATATATGTTTGGAATTTGTACAGGAGTCGAAGGGGCTAGAGTTTTGGTTTATGAATATGTAACAAATTGTTCTTTGCTGGAGTATATCATGGGTAAGTTCCCACTTGGGAAAATATCAAACACCTTATAAACAAAATTTCAGGTGGGTTCTGCTCATCACATCCTGGAATGTATAGGGAAAGGAGGAATGAACTTGACATGGAGACAGAGAGTAAACATAGCAATTGGAACAGCTAAAGGTAGGTTTAATCACTTGACTGATTGATGAATACAAATTGAGTACAGAAACATAATTGTTGACATTGAAGGAACTAAATTTTACAGGGACAGCACCTTTGCATGATGGGATCGTGCCTAGCATAATCCATCGAGATATAAAACCAAGCAACATCCTTGTAGGAGATGGATTTGAAGCCAAGCTATCTGATTTTGGCCTTGTGAAATCAGGACCTGTGGGAGATCATCCTCATGTCAGTACACAGATCAAAGGAACACCAGGGTACCCAGACCCTGCATACTGTTTCAGCTTCCATTTTGAGTCCTTTCAGCGACGTTTATAGCTTTGGAGTGATACTTCTGCAGCTTGTTGCCGTTAGGCCTGCCGTAGATACAACTAAAAACCAATCTAATTATCACATCATTAACTGGGTAATTTTCACTTTCATTTTACAATTTCATGTTCTTAATGTTTTGCTGAAGTTGTAAACCTTTTGTTCTTGCAATGAATATAGGTGAGGCCAAGTATAGAGAGAGGCAACATAGAAGAAATTTTGGATGCTAATCTTCTATCAGAGCCATGCAACATGGAGATGATGCTGAAGATGGGGCAACTTGGCCTAAGATGTGTGGTAAAAAACCCCGAGGACCGTCCTACCATGACTCAGGTGTGGCAAGAACTAGAGGACGCCCTGTATTCCGTTGACAGCTTCATTGGAAAACATCCTTCGAGAAGTTCTCGAATATCATTGTTTTGTCAATCAATAGACCAAGACTATTCTCAAAGTTTTGTGAGCATAGATGGTGTCAAGTTTCAAAGGTTTCGCGTGGAGATGGATAGCATGTCCTTTCAGAGTACCAGCCTGAGATGTTTTGAGGCAAGCAGTGTTAACATAGATGCTGATCAGAGTACTTTGAGAGGAATAAGTGAGGAAAGAAACAGAGAAGAAGAGACAAAGTTGAACTGATGGATTTAATTGAGGAGAGTTATAATGTAAAACAGCACATCTAACATGAACACATGAATATATATTATAGCTGTGTTGTATCTGATACTGAAAGAAGATCGAAAGAACATGAAACTTTATCTTCTTATTAGTTTCTACAAAATCTTTATTTCATTCAGATTATAAAGATCACATTCAGAATGTTACTAAAGACAAACTTTCAGATTTCCCCCCTCAATTCCATAGATAAGAACTAATTTCCTCTGCATGGGACGTTTCGCAGTCCTTTTCTTTTTCTGCATTGGCATTTTCAGAGTAGTTCACAAGGTCAGCATACATTTCCGAAGTGGCCTTTGAGAACTCGGTCATAGACTTAAAAACTGAAGAAAATCCTGTCTGGAATCCGTTCACTGTGATTCGCCAAGTCTCTTCCATGGTGGCCTGGTGTTTTGCCTTCTCTGCATCAACCCTCTTCCTGAACAAATCCAACAGAGTTTTCTGTTCTGCCAAGTGCTCTATGCTGTTCCGCACGTTTGCTTCTAATCCTTGATGATCAGACTGTTTGGACTGGAGAACCCTGTTTTCCGTTCCCTGGAATGCCAAAACCCTCCTCTCTAGTTCTTTTGCAAGTACATCAACTTTTCTCTTCTGATGCTGTTCCTCCCCTTGTTGAACCCAAAGTGCCCGGATATCCTTCTGTAGGCTTTTCATGGCACGAATTACAGCCTCATCTGGCAGTTTCCCTGTAAAAGCTAACCAATCTTGACAGGTTACCAGTAATGGTGGCAGAGAAGTTTTTCTCTCAGAGAAGAAATCCATTTCAGGGGCAATGAACTTGGAAAGCCAACCAACAAGGGCTTCAACATATGCTTTCTGTGCTGAAACATACTCAACAAAGCAGGTACGCCAGTTATGAAGTTCAGCCTCAAGCTGAAGAGTTGAGAGGCGGTGAGAATCATCGCTGAACTTTCCATACACAGGACAGTCAAAAGATTGAACTTCAGACATGATTCGCATTTGAGTTTCTGAAGATTCCATCATCATCTTCCAATTCCTCATAAGGCTGCAGAGTAAGAAGAGATCCACATTACACACATAAAAATCAATATCTATCTGCCAAGTCCCGCTACAAATTTTACTATCTACTTTACAATATGCTTACCCATGGAGCAGCTCAACAACTTGTGGCTGCAGCTCTTCATCTCTCAGTTTCCGAATCCTTTCTGAGATTGATTCTGTGCTGCGCAATGCAACCAAGATCCTGGTATGCAAATCTGTCATTTCTGCTCTCCTTTTGTCCCCGGCACATATGTCATCATGTCTAGCATCAGAATTTCTCAATTTGTAGCATTTTCTCTCATAGGTTTTCCTAGTTTGTTCTCCAGCCTGAGAATATGAATCATAAATATGTAGCAAAGTTTTTTAAAAAACAGTTCTTCAGGTACAATGCATATTCATTTAAAGAGTACAAGAAAATAGTAGCAAAAATGAATTACCTTGACCTCCTCATAGAGTTTTTTCTCCCAAGCATACAATCTTCCCAGTGTGGAAGAATGGCTTCCGGATTCCATTCCTCCATAGTCATCAAACATTTCATTCTTGGATTCTATCCATGTAGAAGAACTTTTGGAACTAGATGAAAGGAGACTTCTACAAGATGAAGACCTGGACAAGGTAGGACGACTCCATGTAATTGACCTGATTAGTTTATGTGAGCTATCTGCAACAAAACAATATTCAAGAAATTAATAACTTTTCAACAGAAAGAAAAGGGAAAGCTAAAATCTTCCTCACCTTTAAGTTCCTCCAAACCAGATTGCAATTGGACTCTACGGGCCTCTAGCATCTTGGACACATCTAAACCGGAGTGATAAGCCTTAACAAAATGATCCTCCACATCCTTCAATGCCTCTAATAACTCCCTCCCATTGGGTGTATCAATCATTCGGAACCTCCCCTGGTTCACATTTGCACCATCTCCATTTTCAACATCTTTGCTCTCACTCTCCACATTCCCACCATGCTCAACCTTTGTCTCTGCATCTTCTTCAAGGTTTGGAATCCCCTCTTCCTCTCTCAATGCCTTCAATTTCTCATCAGAACTCTCACTGAACCTATTTACCACCTCTGTTCTAAACTCATCAAAGGGGTTGAAGAAATCCCACCCAAAAGTCTGAGTTTCATCCCCATTAAAGTGCTCACACACCACTTCATCCTCTTCTTCCTCTTCATCTTCTTGACTAGATGATTCTTGATCCTGTCCTTGATTCTCAAAGGAAATGACTTTATGGGTGGGTTCTGTTGGCTTTTGTTGCAGGAACATGGGGTTGGTGACACTGACAAGGGTCTCATCAGCAGAAGAAGAGACTGTGATGAGAAAAGGGGAAGAAGAAGGAGAGGAATGTCTGGCCACAAACAGTCTAATGGCAGCAGCCACTGCATACAGCGCCTGATTGTACTTACCATGAACATCAGCAAATGCATACCTCCTCTCCACCGCCAATTTCAGGAGGCGCTTCCTCTCCTTACAAAAGGACACTACATTGTCTCCCCCATCTTGTTGCTTTGAAGTAGCACAACCCATTTTGCTAAAAGTTGAAGGTGGTTTTAGTTTTAGTACGGGTGAAGGAACAGAAAGTGGGTGTAGCAGAAAGAAAGGTTGGGTTGGAAAAGTCACAGTTTTTTTGGCAGGGAATCGCGTCAGGTAACTGAAACAAAACAGAGGTGAAGCCCTGTTTGCAAATGGTGGTGGTGCTTTTGGTTTCCAGCAGAGGTTGAAAAAGGTGATTAGGCACTAGCAGAATGCAGAGGAAGGTGTCAGAGAAGGAGAGCATGAGACAAACAAAAAAAGGGTAATTAGCACTCTTTTTTTGGTACAGCAACTAGCATTCTTTAACGTGTAATTAGTATTGTTTTTTGGTTGCATAAGTAATTTATGTTCCTAAATCAGTACACGCTTAAAACTGAAAACTGCCCTGCATAGAGTAATTTTCCTGAAATTGGCCTTAAAACAGGGCAGGCCCCTTTGCTTTTGTGGGAAACGTGGAGTTATTTGGTGTGTAAGGCAGACATTACTTTATTGGGACTTGACGCTTGAGAGAGAACAGTAAGTGAGTGAGTGATTGAAATATTGAATGGCTGAGAGATTTTTAATTTTTCCACATCTTTTACTTTAGATAGTACATCGTACTGATGATGACATTCAATTTCAGATCTTCCACACATCTGTTTAGAAAGGCAATCCTTATAGTGATGATCATTCAATTTGTTAAAGATTATTGATAATTGTTAATTTTTAAATTTTGATTATAATTAATAATTAATGAAATAATTAATATTTATTATTTTATAAATTCAAATTAATTTATAAATAAATATTTTAAAACATGATAACTAATTATTTAAAAAAATAATAAATTAGTAAATTAAAATTAAATTAATGATCTTAATAATTTAAATAGTGACAATAATCTAACTTATTTAGAAATTTTAAACTTCATTGGTTACCATTTTTGAGAACAAGAGACTAAATTGAGATAAGTTATAACCACACAAATAAATGTTAAAGTCACATAAAAATATTATAATTGTGTTTAATTTTTTATTTTTTGAACGAGTTACAATCTTTAAAGGAAAGAGCATTTGAACCTTAACTTCTTGATTGAAAATACATTTTACAATTAAACATATAACCTTCAAACCATGAGATCCAAGTGCATAACGGTGTTTAATTTTACAATTATAATTTCGACATGTCTTACCTTTTACTTTATCTTATTTCCTCTTTTACTCTTTTATTACTCTATTCCTTATGTACTTAAGCTTTTATTAATATCCTTTTATGAGAACAATAATATAAGTACTCATAGAGGGAGAAGAGGAGAAGCATGTTTCTTGCTCTTTGCCTTGGTTGAGAGTGGATTCCCAATGACCATTGCTGTCCTGATAAGTACAAAACAGAAGAAGGTGTGTAATAACGTGGAGTTAGTTGCATTATGGTTGGGGAGTTTGTCAAGAAGCTAACCACAAGTGGGGGGCTTTTGTCATTGTTTCTGGCAGAAAGTAATATTTGCTCTTTACTGATTGGTAAGGAAGGAAGTCACCATTGCCCTCTTTCATCCTCTTGCTGTCTCACGTCAGATTTTAGATTCTCGTGAGAAACAACACTTTACAGCTATATCTTGCACTGATGCAAATGCAAACCCAATGCATGAGATTTCATGACAAAGTTGCTTCTGAATGTAAAACTCTTGTTGAACTCTTCAACTTTTGCAAGATGATTAATTAAACCCCAAACTTAATTCTTTTTTCTTTCCATTTTTACTGATGATATCACTCTTCATATATCAAATTTTGAACTTGAGACGTCGATGCATTGAAGGAAATTCAGAAAAAACAAAAGAGAACATCCTAGCAATACGATGATAAGATGAAGAGCAAACTCTTTGCTATAGAGAAGATCATTCTAATGAAAGAATCTTCAGTATCATCTTTGTAGCCTTAATTTCCCTGATTCTTCCCATTTATCTGTTCAAAAGGATTAAATACTAAACAAATACATGTCTCAAGTTGAAGTGTTGTTACATTGTACATTAGAAAAAAAATAAAAAATAAATTAAAATACTGCACCTTCTACTGTGTCTCTTATGTATGAGCTGATAGTATATCACAAGTTCAGGGAAGGGATCTGCACTAGGTTCGACAGCATGAAGCACCAGCTCCATCGACTAATATTTGGGTTTTACACGCAGGGAGCTAGAGTTTTTGCAGGGAGGTTAACTCCACCCCCTCTCACAGATATTGACGGGCCTTTTACCGAGCTGGCTCTGCTTACTAGATTTGAATCGAGGAATACAACTACGACTGTAATGTCATCGTGGAAATGACGGCGGACACCGCGGTCAATCTTTTTCAAATCTGAGTATCTCATTTCTCTCTTTTTTGCAGCTTCCTGCAAGGCAGTTTTCACCAGCCTCCTTGCAATTCCCTGAAAGAAGGAAAGCCCGTAAACCGACAGATATAAGCATTTTCTCCTTGTCCTGATAAACAGGGTTCACAATTGTATTTGCCAGTAGGAACCAGTGCAAAGTGCATAAAAGGTCTACCTATTCATATGACATGTTTTTAACAGTATACTCTCCTACTGCAGTGGTTAAAAAATTAAGGCAGCGGAAAACATAAGCAAGAAACATGCATGCAAAGGAGCTATGAGGCCATTTAAGCCTGAGAAGCAAGCGAACATTTACTTTCTATACATAAATCAGTCTGATATGCAACCTCAATTTTCCAGAGATTATATGTTAATGCCAGTATCCATTATTGAGGAACCATCAATGCAGAACTCCACGTAACTATCAACATGCAGAACATAAAAAATATCATGGAAGACAGGATTAATAATCAGGAAATCTCCATCCAGTGCAGAGAAAGATGTCTTACATTGCGTGGATTATTTTGAACTACATCAACTGCATCCTGATTGCTGAGATGCTCCCATAAACCATCAGAAGCAAAGATGAGAAACTGATCATGAGGTTGCAGTTCATGAACAGATATTGATGGTTCGGAGCTTAAAATTGGCCTTTTAAAAGGTTCACGAAGCCGGAACTTAGCATAAAGAGGCTCCCTATTGAATTCTGCCTTTTTAAGATAAATATCACCAATAGATCTAGAGACCTAAAACAAAATGGTAGCGTAAATATTTTCAGTCCCATGTCCATACTGCAATAATAAGACATTTAAACAGTAATACACACATTAAAAAGTCCTTTGCATAAATATACAAACGCTATGTTAATGTGCCACTTTTTGGTTCTTTCCACACAATTCCACCAAATGGTCCATAAGATTTTGTTCCAACAACCAACAGCATTATCACCTAAGATCTATTGGCAGCAAGTATCAACCTATGAACTAATCAACTTCAAAGCGCAGCTTGCTTTATTTTAGTTAATGGATTAATGAAATAAGTCCTTAATACAAAAAGAAAAAAGCTATTAGAAAATGGATCCTTTAATAAGAACACTGAAGACCAGAACCCCACCCTGAATAGTGCAGCTGACATTTCCCATGATTAAGTTCATGAGATGTGTGGCTTTACCTTTTAGAAAATAGAGCAAACTTATAGGATGCAATAAGATTCAGTTGACCACTTAAGAATTTCCAATTAATTTCACTCAAAATAACTTACCTGAATCAGGCCCTTTACACGCCAAACGTTATGTTTTAACACTACAATCTGTGAATCATCAGGATGCAAAGAATGCATCTCCTGTCTGACTGACTCTATGCTCACATTATGCTCTGATGACAACTGGATGGCAAGAACCTCTCCAGTTGCCTTGACAAGCCTCCCTAGCACAGCACGAGAATCACCAACATTGGCAATGTAAAGCGATCCACCACATATCACACCTACAAGGCAGCAGGATCCAACAGCTGCAATCTGGGGTTTCATAGGCCACTGTTTTGTAACGATAGAGAAAAAACCTTCTTCTGTTGCTTGATATGCTTTCCGTATGACATCCACGGACATTGATTGTTGCTCCGTGGTAAACCCTACAAAATTAGTATTAATTAAACCACCATATCAAAAGCATACTTCGTTTTCCCATCTACTTAATGGCCAGACAAGAACTAAAATTTTCACATTTAATATATGAAATGTTTTATGTTTTCAAAATTGCCTATAACCAGAAAAAAGGGAGCAGGTAATTTGCCAGTCCTAGTGGTGACAAATAGAACTGAAAATAGATCTAATTGAAGTAAAACAAATCCTCCTTTTCTAAGAACTAAGAACTCTATTTAAGTTACAAGTTTCCATACTCTTTAGATGCTGGAACAGATTATCATTGATGTAACGTGATGTCTCAGGGCCACCATGACCATCATATACGCCTACAAAAGTACCATAAGGACCAGACTCCAGAGTGCTCAAAGGCCCGGACTCAATCTGACTCTGATCCTCAAGCAAATTGTTTGCTTGCACAACAGCCATGGAGAAATCACCATTGATGTGCTGCCCATTGTCTTTGTACCAGAGGAGCCCATCTTGCCTGCCTGCTGCATCTGAACCCTTATGGACATATCTGTCAGAGGACGACGGCCCCCAGCAGGCCCTCATAAAATTTATAAGCCTTGATAACATCCCTCATCTCACCCGAGCCAGCCTCCAATTCCTCCGCAACATCCCAAATTTGATGCAAAATACCAGCCCTATAAATCCCAATAAGAGTCCTCACCCTGCACACCAAAGAAAACACATACACAATACACTAACCAAAAAAATAAAAACCAACAACATCCGTGACTGATTATGACACTGGATTGCAAGTTGAAACAGAGATAAAAAGCTACCAGAAACAAATCCTAGATTCAAATTTAACTGTATCCTCTGAAAAATCTAAAACCCATATCCATCTATGTCCCAAAAGTGATAAACAAGCACATAAACATTTATCCTGCCAATTTAAGTAAATGAAAAAAGAAAAAAGAAAAAAGAAAAAAGAAAAAAAAAAAGAGTCAAATTTACCTCTACATTCAACAGTTCAGCATAACAACAAATCAGTTAAAATAAATGCCCAAATTTCATTGAACAATAAGTTCCCATAAACTAATATAATTAATGAAAAAGATACAATTTTGAAGAAAACCCTGCAATCACAGAAACGAGAAGTAAAGAAAATCAAGAGATAGAGAAGTAAACTCACAGTAAAATTAGGCCGCTTTAACAGTTTCTGATGAGCTACTGAATCACACCGAAAGAAAGCGATGGAGATCTAAAAGAAACAGAGCAATACATGTGGGTACAAAAGGATTAGATCTATAGATCCATCAAATCAAAACAGTAACTTTGTTTGCTTTGCTCCTCCAAGTTTCTATCTTTCCACACTCTTCCTTGTTTCCTTTCTTGTTCTCTGATGAAAAATACAAAGAAAGAGGATAGAAGAAGATAGAGATCGAATAGGGGAAAATGGAAGGTAAAAAAAAGGGGGAAAACCAAAAAAAAAAAAAAAAAGTTTCTTTCAATTAGTGTGATTGAACAAACTGAAAAAGCCCTCTTTTTCTCTCTCTCTCTCTTGTGTGTCTTTCCCAATTCTCAGTAAACAAAAGCCCCTATAAAAGAAAACCAACAAAGGCATGGTTGATAGCCAGCACTGCATATGGCACCAATGGGCTCCACATATGACCAGAGAAAGGGAAAATAAAACAATTTTTTAATAAAAAAAATCTATTTATTTATAGTATTTGCTAAAAAGCCCAACCTTTCTAATGTATTTTTAATTAAGTCCCTAAAAGGTATGATCTTTCTTCTCCTCCTTAAAAAATTTGAGATTATGTTCATATAAACTAGTAAAAAAAGTGGAAGAATGATGAATTGAAATTACAACTTATAACCATATATATATATAAATATCTGAAAACGTAGTTATACCCCTATAGCTTAAAGGATCATTACTTGAACATGTAGTCTCCTTGGTTTTACATAAACAAATCATAATATTGAGAGCAATTCTATTTATGGTGATATTAACATTCATGTAATGTAAAACTGCTCTTAGTATTGAGAGAGTAAGAGTGACGAGTGACAATGAGAAAAATAACAATTACCTAAAATAATGACATATATGTTTTTTTTTCAAAGTTACAATTGTCTTATTATAAGATTGTTTTTAGTTTTCTCTTACTTTTGAGCCTTTGAGGTGGAAGTTTTAACTATAAATGTAGACATATAATTATTCTTTATTACATACTTTGGAAATTGACAACAATTTTCAAAATGAAAAGTTAAGAGGTGAATGAAGGTTTGAAGAGTAATTAGTCAAATTATTAGTATAAAAATGTTTCCTTACTCCTATGACTAGAATTCAAATCCTTTTCTCCTTTTGACCCCTCTTATTACATCAACCAATTAGTTTATTTCTTTAAAAATACAAAAAAGAAAAGAAAAAAGTTAAGAAATCCTAATAGTCAAAACACCATAACATCTAATTACACTCAATAAATAAATAACATATAATATCTTATGAATTATGTAACCATGTCATGTCTCACTTTCTTTCTCCAAATGCTAGTAGCCACTTATTACAATGGGTTACACCTAAAACATTGTACAAAGTTATACCGGAATTATAATTATAGACACCATAAAAATAATTAACCTAAACTTAATGCCGGGACCAAAATTAATTGTTGTCAATTTCTAGAGTAGTGAAAACATAAATACATGATGAAATTTTTTTTAAAAAGAGAGAGAGAGAGAGAAAACATAAATTAAATAGTGTACACGTGGGCAGCGAGGTTATTAAGCAAGTGTCAAGCCTCATGTTGCATTATTGTCTTGTACAAAAAAAAAAAATCTGGGGACGCACACGTGTCTCTCCAGCAAAAAGGGCAGAAAAAGTCATAAAACAATGTACAAATTGCCGTTTGAAATCTGAAAGAAAAAAAAA